TACATACTAATAAGATTTACACATGCAGGCATGTCAGATTTGATGAAGAAGTTTTCCCCTTTGCTACTAAAACTTCTTTGCAGGATCTATTTACTCCGTTTTCTGGACCTTGGGCGGAATCTGTTCTCAGTCATAGCACACCTATTCTTGCCGTGTCCAATGATGAGCCGCCAGAACCGCCGCTACCAGCTTCATTCGAACCAGCCGTGGATCCCGGACAGGCTGCCTCGTCGGGTGATCCAGTGGAGCCCATTGCTCGCCAGCGAGGCCGTCCACGTGGGCAGTCCACCAGGCCCAGTGTTCATACTCACTCTATGGCCACTCGCAGCAACGCAGATGCTCCTCTTTTTTCTCTAGCAGCTTAGGTGCATCCCACGGAACCCACATGTCAATCTCAAGCTGTCAAATATCCTGAGTGGCGTGAAGCCATGGACCAAGAATTCAATGCTCTCCTGCATAACCACACATGGTCTCTAGTTCCACCCACTGCAGGTATGAATATTATTGGATGTAAATGGGTGTTTCGTACGAAGAGAAAGGTTGATGGTGCTATTGAAAGGCATAAAGCTAGACTGGTTCGAAAGGTTTTAATCAGGTTCCAGGCCAAGACTTCTTTGACACATTTAGTCCAGTGGTAAAGCCTACGACTGTAAGACTCCTTCTATCTCTAGCTTTATCATCTAGGTGGTCTATCAAACAACTAGATGTTCATAATGCTTTTCTGAATGGTAATCTGGCTGAAACAGTTTATATGAAGCAACCCCCTGGTTATATTGATGCTAACTTCCCGAATCATATTTGTTTGTTAAAAAGATCTCTGTATGGGTTAAAACAAGCTCCCAGAGCCTGGTTTAATCGACTACATACGTTCTTACTATTAGTTGTCTTTCAAGAATCCAAAACAGATGTCTCTCTGTTCTATTACTCTAAAGACTCTGCTTTGGTTTATCTATTGGTGTACGTGGATGACATTCTTGTAATGGGAAGTGATCAGGGTATTATGTCTCAGCTCTTGTCCAAACTGTCTGCTACATTCAAAATCAGAGATCTTGGTGAACCAAATTTCTTTCTAGGCATTGAAACAGTTAAGAATGACAATGAGATTATTTTATCTCAACAACGGTATATGAATGATATTTTAAAACGGGCTGGAATGTCTGAATGCAAACCCATTTCTACACCTATCTCTATCTTGAAAACTGTCCCCTTCAATTCAGATCTATATGATGATCCCACACAGTACATGAGTCTAGCTGGAGCACTGCAATATCTCACTGTCACACAACCTGACCTATCCTTTGCAGTTAATCAGTTATGCCAACATATGCATGCTCCCACCATGTCACACTGGGAGCAGCTCAAACGGGTACTCAGGTATGTTAAGGGAACAGTTGATCATGGTTTACGCATACGACAATGCTCATCTAGAGACATTCATGCCTTCTCTGATTCTGATTGGGCTGGTTGTCCTGAGGATCGAAAATTCACGAGTGGTTTTGCTGTTTTCTTGGGGAGTAATCTTATATCCTGGGATTGCAAGAAACAGAGAACTGTTGCTAGGTCATCCACTGAGGCTGAATACAAAGCTCTTGTAGATGTTTGTGCTGAAGTTCTATGGATTATGTCATTACTGCGTGAGATACAGATTCCGGGTATTTCCATTCCAAAATTATGGTGTGATAATCTAGGAGCTACATATATGAGTGTCAACCCAATCTTTCATGCGCGCACCAAGCATGTGGAGATTGATTATCATTTTGTTCGTGATCGAGTAGCTTCGGGCGATATTCATGTCAACTTCATCTCCACAAAGGATCAACTTGCTGATATCTTCACCAAAGCTCTGCCTAGACCTAGATTTTCTTCCCTAAGAGACAAGCTACAGGTTACTAGTATACACTGTGCTTGAGGGGGAGTATTAGGACTCTATGTATCTGAGTCTGTTTAGAACTTCTTATCCTTGTCACACTGTGACTCTCTATTGTATATATTCACATCATCTGATCTCATTGTAATCAAGTTCAGAAAATATAATACAATCAGTTCTCATCCAGTAAACACTTACAAATTTTTACGTATGCCATATTTGAACACAAAAAGGATTCAACATAAATAATCAACAAACCCACAATCAATTAAACCTTATAATTAAAAATCCCCAAATATCATGAACCCTAATTTTAGTGATTAATCAATTTACAAGCAGGCTCTGATACCAAATTGTTAAATAATCATTTATGCGCTATAACTTGAATGCGGGAGCACAATTAACAATGATCGCATGTAAATCAAATCAATCAACTAAACAATGTTCATGATCATGGATTTTTAATTAAATAGATAAGATAGGATTTACTTGGTTCCATTGAAGATGTAATCTCTAAATTGAATGAATTAAGAATATAATGCTTCACCTCTCTAATCCGTATACCTTAATCACCTCCTGAGACTAGAAAACTTAGAGACTTAAAAACCGTTAAGATCTCTAGAGTTTTCCTAGGTATTTATAGATGTGATGAGAAACTCTCTTTCAAGATGAATGGGGAACCTCCTTTAGGAATAGAAATCCCTTTAGGAATGTGACCTCCTTTTAAGAATAGAAATCCATTTAGGAATGTCAAACCCATAACATTTTTTCATTATACATCTTTTAACCCTTATAAACTTAAATTTTAACAGAATGAGAGGGAGGGAATTTCACCCAGTAATTCCGCCTTTACACATCACTAATCATCAACGTGAGTACCTTATGGAATTACAACCTTTATTATGTAAATCAGTGTTAGGAAATAATTATTTCTAACATCTTAAGTCAAATATTACACTAAACGTGAGAATTATTTTTCACAAAGTATGAATCGAATACAAATAGAGTTTTAAAGAATCTTTAAAAGTCTGGATCGAATACAACCAAACTTTTAAAATCGTTATATGTTTTTAAAAGTTTACAAAAGTCTTAATTGAATACACCTCTTAATTTCTGCAGTGAGCTTGTTTATATGAAAATGATGATTGAGGGTTTGAGGTTATTAGTTGCTAGTTATGATTTAAATTGTGCAATATGTCATCCATATGAACAGGAAAAAAAATTGGTTGTAGAGGTTAAATTTGTCATAAGAGACCAAGGATCAAGTCTCACTAGTGACAGTGTGGGAGCGACCTTTCAAAATGAGTGGGCTCCTTGTATGCAATGAGCGTGCTTATGCATAGAGAACATAAAAAACATGTTTTATGAGTTATATATGGCCATAGTCAGCAAAACACTAACTTAGGTTATTGTTTGGAGAATTGGAGTCAAACTTGTAACTTCTAATTACTAAGTCAACAATCTAACCACTTGACTAGAGTTACAACGTAACTGTAATGGTTACTTGGTTTTATGAATACTTTTTCGGTAAGTCTTAATGCAGTATTGAACTCACCTGTGCCATATTTTTGTTTGCCCAATCAATGAATGAAACGTTGTTCATATGAGCTCTATTCAATTTAGCAGAGTTGCTATTACTTTTTTTTTTCTTTTTTTTTTTTTCTAGCAAAATCAAAATTTCATCACCGCCCCTAGAGCCCCATAGAATAGTGGGGCAGTAAATCATCGTGGCACAACAGCCTATTAGGTGGGAGGACCAGTGTTTGATATCTACAAGAAGTTTCACTGTTGGTCCCTAAGTTGGCAAAAACTCTAAAGGGAGGGGGGGGGGGGGGGGGGTGAATAGACTTTTTCAAAAATTTGAACTTAAAACGATTTTTAAATAAAAGCTTACCACCAGCTCAAAAGCACAGTGATAGGCAGTGGAAGTCTTAACGAAAAATGATGTAGCGCATTTTAAGGCAAAAAACAGCTTGGATGAAAGAATCGTGTTGTGAGTGTATTATTTCGATCAGCTACATGAACAAATTGCAGTAAATTAAAGTGTTGAATGTAAAGATTAAGGAGAGAGATTTTTATAGTGGTTTGGAAACTGACTACTCCGATCCACCCTTCTCCTTAACGTCCAAGGAGGATTTCACTAGTATTGTATATATGCACAAATACAAGTGAAAAATTACACAGTGTATTCACAAAGCACTATTGACTATAAGTGGTGTTCCTTCAATTCGTATCTCTCTTTCATTCTTCAACACTCTATCTCTACTCCAAGAGTCAGCCACGAAATCGCCTTGAGAAGATCTTCAACAACTGTGCCTCCAATCAAGCTTCACAAAACCAAATGCAAGCATTTAAGCAATTGGAACTAAACGCTCAATGAATTTTAAACTGAACTTTCAAAAACTACTGAAAATAAAACAAAGCATTTAACTTAAATTCTTACCAGGGTTGTAAAAATCGGTCTAGGCGCCCGCCTAGGCGCTAGGCGCCTCTAAACCGTGGCGATTTCCCCCCTAGGCGCCCGCCTAGGTTACCGGCCGCCTAGGCGTCCGCCTAGCGCCTAACTCGGCCGATTTGGCCGCCTAGCGTCTAAGTTAGTCGAGTTAACTCGTCCATTTCGGTCAAGTTAATCCGATTGGCTCGGCCTATTTTTTTATTATATATGTGTGTGTGTGCGCGTATGCGTGCGCGCGCATACATAATATAATATGACATATATACACTCGTAGACTAGTTTGATACTTTGAATCTTTGGATGATTGAAGTATTTGAGTATTTTTAACTTTTAATATTGTTTTAATATTTTTTTCTTGAAAACCATTATTTTGATGTTATGACTTAGGAATTATCATTAATTCATTTATTTGAATGTGTTATTTTATTAAATGTTGAAAACAACCTCATTAAAATTGTCAAACTGCAAGTCTACCACTGTTTTTTTAGCGCCGCCCAGATTCCGCCTAGGCGCTAGGCGCTGTCCGGGCGCCCGACTAGCGCCTAGCGCCTACTGCAACCATGATTCTTACTCATCATGATATTGAATGTAGAAAAATATCAAACTTTAAAATTTAAAACAAAAATCAGTAAAATGCTAGAAATAAATATCTCATATACGAACATGGAGCTCTAGACATCAAAAGAATTTAACATTATCAATCATCGATGTCAATTCTTTAACATCATCAATAATAATTCCAAAAGTAGAACTAAATGAAGGATTAGAGAGAGAGTAAAAAACATTCTGAGAGTCCATTTCCACATCTACACCACCCATTCCCATACCTTTCAACCAACTTAAAGCCTCTCTCAGACCAATAGCTTCTGCTTTGTTGACCGTGTAAATCCCTTGAAGATGCATATTCTTAGCTGCCAAGAACACTCCTTCGTGATCCCGTAGGACCCAACCCAAGCTCATAGACTCCGTTGATGCATCTAGCGACGCGTCCGTGTTCAATTTCAGTCTTCCGCTTTCTGGTCGCGCCCAACGTATATTTCCCCTTGATGGGTGGCCTGCATTGTTATTATTGTTGACATGAGACCAATTATTCCAGAAGGTAAGTGCATGGCGCAATACTAACTCAGCATAAAAAAATAACCCCTTTCCACACACAGTCATTACGGCTCTGCCATATTCCCCAACATGCCATTATAAACTTTGCTAAGAGCTCACCCTTTAAAAAAGTTATTAAGGCAAAAAACCAATCAATAACATTACCATAAGCTACTCCCATTGGCGGCACGCCAATGAGGTTCCAAACCTTCGCAGCTTTGGTACACTGAGCAAACATATGATAAGCACTCTCTGGAGCCCTCTTGCAAATATGACACACCAAAGAACAATGAATATTTTTTGTTTGAAGGGCATCCCTGGTTGGCAAAAAAGAAGAGGCCAACTGCCAGCAAAAGTGCTTAACTTTTGGCGGTACATCAATATTCCATAAATGTGACCATGGACGCACATCTAGAGCCGTCGAAACGGTCTCGCGGGGCGGGACGGGCCAAAACACACCAAAGCCCGTCCTCGTAGCGGGACGGGTTAAAAAGCCCGCCTCTTAGCAGGCTTGGAATGTGGCCGGCCCGCCCCGCCATGCCAAAGCCCACTGGCGGGGCGGGCTAGCCCGCCAATCAATTTTTTTGTTGTGTTAATTTTTTTTAAAAAATCACTGTACAATATCCTTAAAAAACAAAAAAGAAAAAAAGAATCACTGTACAAACGTACAGTACACTAACATAGTAACACTACCTAGTATTGTATTCCTATAAATCTATAATCCTATAAGTTATAACACACTAACACAATTACACAAACCAAATAACATGTATTAAATACTAAATATATATACAAAATATATATGTATTAGCAGGTCGCGGGCTAAACCCGTGACCCGCCCCGCCTGGACCCGTGACCCAGGCGGGACGGGCTAAAAAGCCCGCCTCCTGGCGGATCAAAATTTGAAGAACCCGTCCCCTACCTATGGGGGTACGGGACGGGTCGGCCCAGCGGGTAAAACCCATTTTTGACGGCTCTACGCACATCAGATAACTCACCTTTCAAACGCTTATAGCATGTCTTGACAGTATAGCCACCTTTTGCATCTCAATACCAGTACCACGAGTCTCTCGACTTTCTGATGGAGATAGGTATATTCAAAATTAGCTTGGCATCTCACATCCCACCCCGTTTAAGTGGCCACAAGTGACTCAAAGACCTCCTCACACACTAGTGTTGTTATCCACGGACCACTATCTGTTGGCAACCACGCATGTTTCCCAATAATTGTATCCTACTCGTTCCCAATACTCCGCCTACAACCATCCTGGATAACGTCTTGAACCTCCATTAAGCCCCTCCAAATAAATGACGGATTACTACATGCAATTGCATCAAAATATGAACAGTTTGGGTAATACCGAGCTTTGTAAACCTGTGCTACCAAAGATGAGGGATTTGTAACTAATCTCCATGCTTGTTTTCCCAGTAGAGCCAAACTCATCTCGCGCAGAGATCGGAAGCTCATTCCCCCGGCTGCTTTTGGGGCTGTTAAGCCTGTCCAAGATCTCCATCTTAAACCCCTGCCATTTTCCATTGTGCCAGTCCACCAGTACTCATTCATCAGGGTCTCAATATCCTTACATATTCCTAGTGGCAAAAGAAAAACCATCATCGCGTAGCTAGGCATTGCTTGGATGACATTCTTTAATAGTACCTCACGCCCCGCTCTCGAAAGGAACTTAGCATTCCAACTTCTCACTTTTGCTAAGATTCTATCTTTTAGAAACCCTAGGATCTGCTTTTTCCTTCTTCCCACGAGAGATGGTAAGCCTAAGTACTTGCCAGCCGTGTTTCCTTCGGTCACCCGTAGTGATTGAGTCACTGTGGATGTGCAACATTTGTACTGAAGCATATCATTGACTTATCATAATTAATCCTCTGTCCCCAAGGCTCTGAAATAGGTGTCCAGCACATACTTCATACAATGAGTCTCCTGGGCATTGGCGCGCATGAATAAGAAGCAGTCGTCTGCAAATTACAATTGAGATATCGATGATGCTCGCTCCCCGAGCCACACGGATACCATGTAGCCTTCCCAGATTTTAATATAATTTGTATACATTCAATTGTCACAAACAAAAGGTTTTATTTGTAATTAGATTTTTAAAATTTTAAATATAATTATCACAAAGTGTAAAAGGTGTCAATAAGCCTAATTATGAGTACGATGATGGTAAAACGGGTCTTCCTTATAATTTCCAAAGTTTTCAAACATCGAACCATAAAGTGAACCACATGTCTGCTAATTTCTCTCGGAGCATATGTGTGTTCCACAACCAAAGACATAAGAATGAAAGCAGCAGACCAGAAGCCTAAACCCACTAATGTTCCCCTGGAATAAAATCTATGATTAACTATATATAATACAAACTTTTACCAATATCATAATCCAGTCTATATATATATGAGCGTGGCAGAAATCATAATCCGGGCTTCAGTTGCTCCTACGGTCAAAGATCTCAGGTTGGATTGCCAGTTCTACAATACACACCGTCAGATTTCCAGGAACTTAACCTCTGATCTTTTGATGATCCACATCAGGATCAGGATGAGCATTATTTCTACAGGAAGTATGTCAGCTGTTCCTTCTTCCTTGAACCTCCCTCCCCATATAAATTGTTCCATTGCTTCAGTTCATTCATTATAGATCCTTCAGCTGCAAAGCTAGCAGCAACCTGTATATGACAACCCCACCCCAAAATTATTAGCTGTATTACATGAACACTATTTTATCCGATCCGCAAAACAGACATGAATTACAGAGAGAGACTTATTACCTGATTTTTTGCCTCCATAAAATCGTCCATATTCAAAGGCCTGATGGTGATGACCCTTTCCCCTTTATCTTCATTCGCTGTCGGAGCATCTCCACAATTTGGACATTCTTGAGCCAAGCGCTTCTTTTCCTGCAGATTTTGGTATTTAATCATGAATCACAGAAGTAGGATGAATTAATATGAAAGGAACCCTGATAATGCACTTACAACATCTTTAAGTCTTTCTTGCTTGATCAACTCTCTAACTGGCCGATATGCTGCAGTAGTGCACAAGTTCTGTTTGGAAGCATTGCAAATATTTTTCAGTTTCGTACACAACAATATAAAGCATTTAATGTATAAACACCAAACACAACGTAACCTTGAGATCACTGCCGGTGTAGCCCTCAGTCATTGTAGCAAGCTGCTTTAAGTCCAATACTTTGCCCACTGTCTCTTTTGCCAGTAGTGTCTTTAAGATCAATTCCCTTTGTTCTGGTGTAGGTAGGCCAACCATGATTCTGTATTTTCAGAAATGACATTATTCATCATTAGTCAACCTAAAAATAAATTAATTAAAGAAGTGATTCTGTATAATATGATGGTAAATTATTCATCATCATTACACAGAGGGTATATTTTGCTTCAGAAAATGTAAACTAGTCCAATTTTTCTGTATGTTAAGAAAAGCTTTGTTCATGCAAGCGTCGAGCTCTATATAGTATCAATGTATCATAAGAAACAGCTCAGTGAAGAGTACCAATTGAAGTCTAGTTAGAGAATAGCTCCACTGATTCTATTTTTCCAGTCAATTAATTAAACACTAAATAAAAGTGATGGCAATAGCAAATGCTAGAGGTACCTTCTCTCGAATCGTCTAATAATTGCTTCATCAAGGTCAAATGGCCTGTTGGTTGCTGCCAGAACGAGAATTCTTTCACCTGGTTTTGTGAGTAAGCCATCCCAGTGAGACATGAACTCATTCTTTATTTTCCGCATGGCTTCATGCTCCCCAGCTCTGGAGCGCTGCCCAAGCATACTATCAACTTCATCCACAAATATAATAGTTGGGGAAACCTTGGCTGCCAGAGTGAACAAGGCGCGCACATTCTTCTCATCTTCACCGAACCACTTAGATGTAATGGTTGACATAGACACATTAATGAAACTTGCTCCAGCTTCCTTAGCAATGGCCTTGGCCAGCATTGTCTTCCCTGTGCCTGGCGGGCCAAAAAGCAGAATACCTCTGCATGGTTTTAACAGACCACCTTTGAACAGGTCCGGTCTCCGTAAAGGTAGCATCACCAACTCGTGAAGAGATTCTTTGATCTCATCTAAGGCACCAATATCAGCAAATGTTACACCAATCTCTTTAGCTGGTATGACTTCGGGTCTTATACGCTTCTCGAATTCATTGTCAGGAGGAACTTCCTGATACCATCAGCAAGATGAGATACCATCTTAATAAGGAAATGAAAAATCTAGAAAACCAAAAGCAGAACGCTTACCGGAGCTTTTACTGCAGTGCCTGAACTGGTGGCATCCTTTGTAGTGGGAGCTGGAGCTGGAGCTGCGGATCCTGTTTCAGGTTTGCTTCCAGGAGCTGTTGAACTTTCTGCTTTTGTTTCTGGTCCCTTGCTGCCTTTTTCCCCACTCTGTGTCTCCTATTGAAAGCAAGGAAATGAAACTGAGTTCCAAAGTTGTTACATTCCTTAAGCATGTCCACAAAAAAAATTTTAAAAGTAAAAATAAAAACTCAAACCTTGGATAATTCCGCTTTTGATTCAAGCTTTAGGATATCCTTTCCTGCAGCAGTTTTTTCTTCCTTGAATATGTTCATCCCGTGTGACAAACTATTTAATTAAAGAAGGCATCAAGTCAGAGGATTCTTTGCAAGAAGAACACAAGTCAACAGAAAAAAAAAAAAAAAAAATGAGAGGAGGTAATAGGGTTAAGTGCGAGTTAATTAAGACCTTTTTGATGAAATTACAAGCTTTGCATTTCGGTACTCTGGGTCCTTGGTATTCATAAGATGGTATGAAATTGCTGATACCACAACTTCTTCAATATAGTTACTGAGGGCCATTGTGTCTGCCATGCAGATAGAACCAAGATCATCACATTCAATATCATTAGCTGCCAGTACTTCCATTATGTGGTTTTTGTTATCCTGATACTGCATCATCTTCATGTCCTCCTCCAGCTGAGATTTCCAGCTAACAAGATGAGTTTCTTCTTCTGGTGGTTTAATTTCAATGTTATAAGGAAATACAGAAGAAAGCCTCTCATCTAGTTCTCTGTAGTCATCTCCAGGATCCACAATTCTTGAACCAAGGATCAATACTGATCCAGACAATCTCCTTAACATTTTCTGTAGCAAGATGTATACTTTTTCTGATCTACAGAGGAGCTTTTCAGCATCCCTAAGATACAGAACAATAGGACATGTTTTTGACACTTTAACCAGAACCTAACAAAAGAAGAAACATAAGTTACCAAAGGGATGCATATTGACAAAACAGTATCCAGCCCAAAGCAATACCTTATAAAGTGCCTGTATTAGAAGCTTCTCATCAAAAGACAAGCTACTGGTGCGCATAAGTGGACCTGTAAAAATGTGTAATTCATTTCAGAAGTAGAATTTGAAATAAATTTTTTGCAGTGATGCACTTCAAATATAAAGAACCTGGATTTGATGTAGTGTTGTATGAAGTAAGATTGTTCATATTAGCTGAGGCAGATGAATTCCTTCGCAAAGTTGTAGGATTTGAGGAGCCTTCTATTCCCCTGTAGGCATTGCAGGCAAAAGGAAAAATCAGGATATGCACAGAGAAGAGGATAAAGGAGAAAAGAGTCCAAATCTACACTAGCAAGCCAGGAGAAAGACAATGTCATACTTTGATGGAATATCTACTCCACTACTCTGCCTACGCAATGTACCTGCAGAAGAACACACTCAAACAATTAATATATGGAGTGGAAAAATAGAAGAGCATGAAAAAGAATTTCATAACTCTAGTCCTAAATCCTCCACCCCAAATTATACTGAACGGCACAATATTGAAAATCAATTCCAGAAGACAGTACATAGCATAAAAGGATAGCATTCTAAAAATGGAGTTGGCGCTAACTATTTACATGTAGATGATCAAGGTTAGCATGTCAAAGAGAACAACACTTTCAGAAAGTAAGATGATACGACAATACCTTTCTTTTCCTCCTTTGGCTGAAGGATGGAGAAAGATCCAAGAAATTCTGACATTCGATTCAATGTTGTCTCAGATATGGACCTCTTAAAAGACTACAGGAACAGACAATAGCAACAAAGTAGTCAAGTAGAATATCAATGATCTTCTATCTGAGGATGAGGGCAGTTGATGCAGAAATAGGACATATAGAAATTAGAGAATATAATGCTTTAGAAACTTACAGATTCATTTCTAGAACTTCCATATTTGCTCTGAACCTATGCAAGACAAAACAATCCACCAGAGTTTAGGACACGAAAAATGCAATTATGTTTCATGGCTAATACAAAACTTACCTTCAGTGAAAAATCAGTCACATCCAGCAATAACAACTTGGCTCCAAAGTAATGAGCCAAAGCCTTCGCGAGCATTTGCTGGTACAACTCTGGAAGAAAAAACCATGCAGTTAACCACTAAACATCAAATGAATAACAGATAAAGAAAAGAACTCAAGCATGGCCGAGATAACAAACCAGCAGGCCCTGAGAGCAAGATTGTTCGACTTGCAGGGGAGAGGTTCCGTGTATGCTTAGCAAAGTCGGCACTTTTCAAATGAACAAAGGCTGCACTTGTTAGCAAGACCCGTGTCTGTTCACTGTCATCAGATCACAATAAATAATGGAAAATCAATTTCCCAGTGCTAAGGCCACCAAACATCTTCACTGGAGCAATTAACCAGTAATCTGGCATGCAATCACCAAAAAATTGGCCAATTCTAATTGAAAAAGATGTTGGTAAAAATGATCTAGACTAGTTTTCCTCTGTGTAATTGAAATCAAAGCAAGAACAGGCAACACTTGAGCATTCAAATTATCAATCTATTTTGATAATTGTAAATCCACCGTACA